CACGGTTCAAGGCAGAGGACCCAACCTTTCACGCCTGAGAGTGACTGCAAAATCCCACACAAACAAGCAATCTGTGCACTAAGTAAAGCATCTATTGCTGCATGGGGTATCAGGGTTTTTAAAATTTATATCCCCACTGGAGAGGGTAAAAAAAGAGTGTATTAAACAGCATTAACTGTAAGGTTTAGATACCGAGTTGCAACGTTGGACTTAGTGTGAAGGTTTCTTTTCTTTGGTGGGGGCGAGGTCATCCTCCACTGGGTCACGCCTACTTGCTCCAAGGCAGGGCTTATGTAGATTAAACTGATGGACCAGTAGGAGGCAGGCCGTCCCCAGTCCTGCCATAGCCAAGCTCCATGAAGAAAAACTAGAAACTACAAAAAGCCCATACCAGGTGGGGTGAGGATGACTTTGCCCCCTCTGAAGAAACCTTTATGGTAAGTGAAGTCCAGCATTTCATTCTGCTTCGGTGTGGGGAAAGTCGTTCTCCTCTAGGATGTACCAGAGCTAAGCCATGTTGGGAGGGAAGGAGCTCAGGATCAGCGATCGGCTATCCACTGACTTGCTCTGCACCCAAAGGCAGCTTCTGTTGAGGCCCACCTTATCTATTTTATAACACTTAACAAAAGTTGCAGATGACGACCAGGTGACTGGCCCTGCAGATTTTATCAGCTTCTGTTGAGGCCCACCTTATCTATTGTATAACACTTAACAAAAGCTGCAGATGACGACCAGGAGGTGACTGGCCCTGCAGATTTCACCAACGGGCTTTAGACAAAAAGGCTGTCAATGTTGCTGCTGCTCTGGCTGAATGTGCAGTGATCAACTGGGGTGCAAGCAGGTGCATTGCTTCACATGCTTTGAATATACACTGTGAAATCCAGGAAACAATAGTAGCTTTTGAAACTCTCTTCCCCAACTTCTGGGGACTATGAGAAACAAACAAGGTACCTGGACAAAGAGGAGCCATTCTTTTGATAAAACAGTCCTGTGATCAAAGAGGAGCCATTCTTTTGATAAAACAACAGAG